GACCACATCCCAAATGATGGCAGATAGATTCCATCTCCTGGGGATGGACAGACAGAAAGAGGAGGGGGGAGGGCAGCATTCCCCCCTCCCCAATCATATGGCTGGGCAGAGGCTCAGCCCTGCTCTGTGCACATCACAGTGGTTCAGCCACTGTCTGGGTGCTTTGCTGGGGGGTTTTATTCCCCCTTGGGACATTATTTACAGCACAGCCCTTTGCAATAAAGCAACTTTGATTCTTCTGCTGAGGCTGAGCTGCTGTTCTTTGGCCCTGAGGGGGGGGTGGTTGACATTGAGGTGAAGAGAACTGCAGCTTAAAAGCAATCCAGGGCTGTTGGTGGAGCTGGGGTAGCACTGACCTTTGAGTTTACTTTGATGTGATGCTGCCAGGAATTTCCTACCCGTGCTGTTTGTGTTTACAGGGCTGCAGCTGCACCTGGGAGATCTTTTTGCTGCACTTTGATGGGTTTTGATGGGTTTGCTTTGCAGAGGACACTGGGATGGATCCTCCCTCCCATTAACAGCCCTGAATCCCGGCTCTGTGGAGCTGCAATGACAGCAGCTGTCCCAGCAGGAGGGATCTTATGGGTGAGACCCGATGTCTTTCAGCTCCAAACTTCCTGCAGTGGCTGAAATGTTTTTTATTTGGAACTCTTTCCTGCTGCCTGATGAGCAGAAGCCTAACGAGCCGTTCTGCAGCTGCTAACAAAGCTCAGGTTTGGCTGCACTCTGCAGGCTCTGTTCTGCTCCTGCAGACGGGAGGGGGGTTGCCTTCAGGGTGGGGTTTGGCCCCATTTCTGCCCCATGGTGCCCCCAGGGCTGAGTTCTGCTCTGTGGTGTTGCTGCCCTGTTGCTCCTCTGCTGCTGCTGTGGGTGAGGGCTGCACTCCATGCGTGTCCTCACTGCTGTTTGTTGGTTCCAGGGTGGCACAAAGAGCCCCACAGCTCTCCTGGGGCTGTGAGGGGGGAGATGGAGGCAGAGGGGGATGTGGGGATGGAGGATGGGGGGGATTTGGGGAACCCTGGGGGTGGGGGGACCCCAATGGGAGGTGAGGGGAGTGGTGCCCACCCTCTGCATTGCGTGGCACAGAGCTGGGTGGGGCAAAAAGCCCCCAAAGTGGGGTGTGGGGTTTGCTGCCATCTCAGGAAACATTTTGTGTTGGGGAGGGGGAA